TCATACATTATGAACCCTCCTGATGGAAGGACATGGTACTGCCTGTGAAATAGTCTTGAAAGAAAAGACTGATTCCAGTCAAGCTTCTATAGTATATAGGACAAATATGTTAAATGCCACCATGGCAATGCAGTCAGTAAAATACAAACTACAGGAAATTATACAGGACAAATGACTTCTTCAACAGACAAACTGCAAATAAAATAGATAAAGGAGGAACCTGTAGATTGAAAGGTGCATAAGAAACAAACTAATACCAATGAATGCCTCTTGTTCATCCATTTCAAAGAAAATAAATCATTTTTAAAAATACAGGTCAATTATTGAAATGTGGATACTAACTGGATAATTTATGACATTAGGAAATTATTGTAGATATCAACCTGATGATGGTATCATGGTTTTGTTTACAAATGGGAGTTCTTGTTTTGTAGAGGTATTTACTTAAATTTTTATATAGGAAATAATGTAATTCTTGGGATTTGCTGTTAAAGTAATCTCAGGAGGAGTATGGTATATGGTAAAGTGTAGATGAAATAGCATTGGCCATGATTGATAATTGTTGAAGCTATACAACAATTATTGTGGGGTTTAGTATCCTTTTCTGTAAAATAAAACTCTTTTTAGAAAGAATATTACAGAGTTTTCTAGCAAACTAATAGGTTTAGAGTCCAGATTTCTCAATAAATTATGTGATCCTATGGAGCTACTCAGCCTCTCTGTGTTTAAGTACTCTTGTCTTTAAAAAGGAAATAATGTAATAATACTAAATAATAGGTTGTTATGAGAATTAAATGATAAGTAGAAAGCACTTGTGACTATTACCTATTAATATACATCAAAGATAGTTAAACTAAAATTATAAAATTACAGTTGGTTAGAGATCTGAGATACTTAGAAACAGTCTAGTTGATTTCTTATTTAGTATAGGAGAAACTGAAACCCATGATCAGCAAAATGTCTGTGCCCAGCTGGTGTTGCTCAGTGGTAGAGCATCAGCCCATGCACCAAGAGGTCACTGGTTAGATTCCCGGTCAGGGCACATGGCTGGGTTATAGGCCCAGTCCCCAGTGGGAGGCATGCAGGAAACAGCCAATCGATGTTCTCTCTCATTGATGTTTCTATCTCTCCCTCTCCCTCTCTCTGTAAAGTCAATAAAGAAAAAAAAAATGTCTAGTTGTAGAACTAGAACTAAACTATAGATCTCTTGACTTCTGTCATTACAATGTTTTTACAATAAGTCATTATTGAATGATATACAAATACACTTAAATAATCTGGCTTTATGTAAGACCATTTAGGATTGCAAATATGTTCATTTTTCCTGCATCTGAAATTTATTGCTGTTTTAATGAAAACACTAGGTTGTTCTCGTTTGTCAGTCTTCATTGAGAAGGAACAGACAAGTTAAACCAAAGATGAGTCTAAATTCATCTGGGATAAAACCCCAACTTAATGAACATGCTAGGAAAATTTTGAGGAAATAAAAGAATGAAAGGATAAACTCGTTCTAATAGATATTTTAAAATATTGTGTTGTTATAATCATAAGTTTGTGGTGATTCTGGCCCAGAACAATGAAACCACTTAGTATCTACAGATGCCCCCTCCCCCAAGAGTATATAGGATTTGAATATTAAAGCTAGTTCATATAATTACTTTTATTGGGACTGTTGGAGTTGCCCTTTAGAGAAGTACAAAGCTAGATACTTAGTAAAGTTCAAATGTAAGTGAATATTTTTATAGTGTGGGAACAGGGAAAACCTTTGGAGTTAGAATAATAAAATGCAGATGCCAAAAAGGAAAGGGCTAATAAATTTTGCCAAATACAAATCTAAAACTTCAATATAACAGGTACCTTAAATAAAACAAACAAACAAACAAAAAAACAATAAATACTGGCACCATATGTGAGGAAGGATTAATCTCTTACTGTATTAGTTAGGGTCTAGTCAGGACTATAAATTGCAACGGGAATTTGAACAAGGGAAATTTAATATAAAGAATTATTAACTACCCCTGACTGGTTTGGCTCAGTGGTTGGAGTGTCGGCCTGCGGTCCAGAGAGATCCAGGTTCAGTTCCCGCTAGGGGCACGTGCCTCAGTTGCAGTTTGTCCCCGGCCCTGGTCGTTCGTGCGGGTGGCAGCCACTCGATGTGTTCCTTTTACGTCGATGTTTCTCTCTCTCTCTCTGTTCCTCTCTCTCCTTCCCTCCCACTCTACCTGAACAAAAAGTGGAAAAATGTCCTCGAGTGAGGATTAAAAAAAATATATATATATTATTAACTAGTAAAAGGTGTTTTAACTACTAATAAAGATAAAATAGTAAATAAGAATTAGCTACTAGTCTAGAGCTGAGGGGGAGAATCCAGAAAACGAACAAACTTGAAGGAGGTCAGCTCTACCCAAAATTTTGATTCAAACCTTGGAGAGATTGTAGTTGCTGCCAGAGGAGCCATCCATGGGCTAACTAGTCCATAGGAGATCACCTGCTAGATGCCATACGCCTGAGCTGCTGTTAGAAAGCTGCCTGCTAGGATGCCATGTGCCTGACTGATGATGAACAGGAAGTTGCCCAGTGGGTGCCATGAGTCTGAGCAGGTATGCTGTATGCTATTCAGTGGGATGCTCTGGGTCAGAGCCATCAGCTGGAGTAAACTGGAGAAACTTACTGAAGACAGCAGAGACACTTGCTGGAGGGTGATCCCCAACGGGTTTCTCACAATCCTTGTAGCTGCCATGCTGTATGGGCAAGAAGATGAGCACACCCCAGTCTAAAAGATAAGCACGTTCCTATGCCATGCCTACTGCCCTCTATTAACAACGTCTAATGTTGTACCAGCTGCCAAAGGTCCATATCCATTACAAAGAAGGGTGGATTTGGAGCTAAGAGGCCATAAATTCATAACTGGCATTATGTGAAAAGCTTTTATGTATAGATAAGAAACTTGTGAGTACTATAATTGAAAAATATCAGAATATGTGTAGAGATAATTCACAAAAGAATAAATACAAATGGCTTATCAGTATTTGAAAGTATAATCACATTCACTATTAATAGATCTCCCTGATTTCATCCAATTGCACAGACCTTTGTTTTCTTAATCTTCCATCATTTTGAGTATATATTCCTTCTTAAGGTCAAACATTCTTTTCCTTCTTAGTTCCTACTGCTTGCCTGGGATTTTACCTGCTCTGTATACTCTTACTCTTGATTTACACAAATTATAAAGCTAGTCTGGACTTTTTCTGAGGACCTTCCCCACTCTAGCATGTATGTATGTAGATAATCCTAAAATTGTCTATAGAAAGTTAGAACTAATGAGTGAGTTTAGCATGACCATAGGATAAAAGGTCAATATACGTAAATCACTTTCACCTCTATATACTAGCAGTGATCAATTGGAAACTAAAAATTTTAAAGTCCCACTTACAGTGCACCAAAATTTTATTTTTTAAATTAATCCTCACCTGAGGATATTTTTTCCATTGGTTTTTAGAGAGAGTGGAAGGGAGGAAAGGGGAGAAAGAGAAATATTGATTGCCTCCTGTACCATTGACCCCGAATTGAATCTGTGACCCTTTGGTGCACAGGCCAACGCTCTATCCACGGAGCCACACTGGCTGGAGCAGTGGCACCAGAAATTTGAAATACTTAGGCATGTATCTAACGAAGTATGAACAGGATTTGTGTATTAAAATCTGTAAAACATTGATAGAAAAAACCCCAAAGATCTAAATAAATGGAGAGATAATAATGTTCATGGATAGAAAGACTCAATATTGATACAGTGTCAAGTTGCCACATATTCAACACAACCCCATTGAAAATTTAGCAGGCTGAGCCCATTTTAGCTCAGTTGTTTAAAAAAAAAAAAAGAGCCCTGGCCGGTTTGGCTCAGCGGTTAGAGCGTCAGCCTGCAGTCTGGAGAGACCTGGGTTCGGTTCCCGCTAAGGGCACGTACCTCGGTTGCAGTTTGTCCCCGGCCCTGGTTGGGTCGTGTGGGTGGCAGCCACTCACTGTGTCCCTTTCACGTCGATGTTTTTCTCTCTCTCTCTCCCCCTCCCACTCTATCTGAACAAAATATTGAAAAAAAAAGTCCTCAGGTGAGTATTAAACAAAAAAACTGCTCTTTTTCTCATTACTTTTTTTTTTAAAGAAACTAGTCTACAGTGAAGCTTGCTGCTTTATGATGTAGGGAGTTCCTTGTCCCTTGAAATGTTCAGAGATCAGTAAGACACCCCTTATTAGGGATGTTGTGTAGGAAATTATAGCATTAGGTGGGAAGTTGGAATAGATGGTCTACTTTTACCAATTCAAAATCTTAATGAATCTGTTATTTATAAATCAGTGAAGACAACCTTGGGGCAAGTTGAAAGGGAGTTAGGGAGTTGTTGCAATATTCAGGCTTTTTCAGATACACTTAACATTTCCCCAAAGATCCTGTCATTCTTCCTCCCACCTTTATAAACCATTTCTTGTAACGAGGGATGTTACTAATGGGAGTATGTTGTATGTATGAACTATTTTAAGGACTCTAATTGTCACATTTGTGTTACTTTTTTTGGGTGAGTACCCATCAGATTGAAAAGGAATATAATGACAGTCTTCTCAACTCTTTGAATTTCAAGTATGGCTCTTCCAAAATGCTATAAATCATAGGGAAATAGTCTTTAATATTTATGTTTAGCTTAGAACATTCAGATTGCCAGTTTTTTCAATATAATCAACTTAAATATTTCTCAGCAAGGAAACTGAGAAATTATCTTTAAAATTATTCCTCAAGTTAGTTCTACCAGAATATCAATTTTTAAAGATACTGTGTTCATAACATATATTTTAAATATATATTTGTTATGTTTTTATATAAATATGTGAAAACCTCAAATAAGTTAAAAAAAAAACCTGTGAATTCTATGATTTTTTAAAAAACTGCTTGAAATATGAATAGCTACCTATTTTTATTTTCATTAATATCTGAATTTTCTTTCTATTTTAAGCCCATCCTGAATTCCTGAAGCAGCCTACTAATATATATGCTCATGAGTCTATGGATATTGTATTTGAATGTGAAGTGACTGGGAAACCAACTCCAACTGTGAAATGGGTCAAGAATGGGGATATGGTTATCCCAAGTGATTACTTTAAGATTGTAGTAAGTACTTTTTTAAAGAGGGACACTTATCTCTCAAACTTTTAAATGTCTTTGAATGTAATCACCAAGAGATATGTTGTCTTATATACACCAGTTTATGTACCTCAGACAAAGAAAAATTCACACAGAATGTAAACTCTTCATTGGATGATGAGAAAGCTGAGCCCAGAAATATTTTGGTAGCTTATATAGAATCACATAATAGCCCTGGCCAGTTTGGCTCAGCGGTTAGCGTATCGGCCTGCGGTCCCTAGAGACCCGGTTTCGGTTCCTGCTAAGAGCATGTACCTCAGTTGCAGTTTGTCCCCGGCCCTAGTTGGGTTGTGCGGGTGGCAACTACTCGATGTGTCCCTTTCACGTTGATGTTTCTTTCTTTCTCTCTCTCCCTCCCACTCTATCTGAACAAAATATCAAAATAAATAAATAAATAAATAAATAGAATCACATAATAAATACTACTAGGTCTAGTATTCATGCTTGAATATGCTAGCACTTGTAAGCACAACTGCCACAATTTTCTGGGTGATGATTATCTTGTGTGTGTGTACACACACACCCACCCACCCACTTACACCCCATTTGTCTTTATAGCTCTCTATTTAAGGAACAGAAATCTGTTCTTTTATACTAATGCTCAGGCCCTTCAAAATAAGTATGATCCATTATTGGACAATTATTGTGATGATAGATATGAAGATTCTTTTAGAAAGTAAATGTAAAAGTAAATAATTAGTGTTAAATGTATGTGAGAATATTCAGACATTACTGCTTTTTACTTTAGATTAAGTAAAGGTTTAGTAAATATTATCTTATTTTCATTATCTAACATTCTGGTAATCAAATTATCTAGGTTTTAGTAATAAGGATTGATGACATATACTAAGATACATAACATCCATAGACATACTCAGAAATAACTATGGTTGTTAAAGACTTATCTTCTTACACATTTGTCATATAAGTAGATGTATATTTTCTACTTTCAAAATGTATACTCTCATAAGTTATAAAAAAGTAATTCACAGTATTTAATCATAACTAAAAAGCAATGTATTATGGTAAATTAGCATTTTTTTACTCTTGTTTTCATATTATTTTTTAAAAATCTTAAAGCAATAACAATAACAATTGTTGACATCCATGTAGTACTTTAGGATTTAAGCGCATATATATGCAACCTGATTAACTTACTGTAGTCTGATCTATCAGAACTATTGATATTAGAAATAATGTTAAGAAAATGCCTTGAATTCACAAATTCAGACTTTCACTGTGGTCACATGGTATTGTATGCCAGATATTTTTCCAAGTGAAGGTGTAAGTTTGCAAACATTGTGGGTATGACTTTCCATGAGTATTAAGTTCTTAATTGTCAATGATGGTGTTGCCTGTTTTAGTCAGTTTAAATCAGTACCCTGTCAATAAAATTGAATTAATTTCATAAACATATAGGTAGATAATATCCAGTACCTGAATCATACAATTTTACTTGTTTTTTCTTCTTACAAAGGGCATGTACTTCAGATTTTGAATTAACGTTTATCAATTGAATCATAAAATTGTATTTATTTTTTTGTCTTCAGAAGGAACATAATCTTCAAGTTTTGGGTCTGGTGAAATCAGATGAAGGGTTCTATCAATGCATTGCTGAGAATGATGTTGGAAATGCACAAGCCGGAGCCCAACTGATAATCCTTGAACATGGTAAGAGGGGTTGAAATAGTAAGAGGGAAGAGGAGGACTATATGTTTGAGGAACTAGTACCTATCACAGTATCTAATACTTCAGGATATCTAATGATTAATGACCTACTTGTAAGGAGCAACATATGGTATATCCAAGAGAAGAAATAGCTGTCTAAATAATTTCTGTTGTTTAAAATGACATAAAACACAATTTTAGCTAATGTTGAAAAGAAATTGTTGTTAAGGAAAGAAAAACTGAACAGTTATAGTCTTACATAAATGAATGTTCTTCAGAGTTCAGTCATTTTAATCTTCCAAATGTATTTCTGCTCTATTAAAATAGAAAAAACTTTACTTAAAGCAATATTTATTTGGCATTGAATTTTTTCAAAATAAAATAAACTGCCTTTTGTGATTATCACACATGCACAAAAATACTTATTGTAAATTCAGACAACATTGAAAAATAAAAATGGGAGAAAAACCTACCCTGTTTCAGTCAGGGTCAGTTCTGGGGGAACCACACAGTAATTTCAGCAAAACTGAAGGATTAATTATTCTTTAATATGAACAAAATTATTAACTCTAACAGGGAATTGGAGTAGCAAGGGGTTGGCTAGAAAAAAGTGACAAGAACTCTAACAGATATAGGAATGGCAGATAGAAGGAGCAGCTACAACCCCTAGGTCTGAGAGAGTGTTCAGGAAGATTTAGACCATGTTGGAGAGGGTGTGGCCTTGGTTTCCTGGATGACAGAGAAATTGCTGTGCTGCCATACTTGCTGTGGAAACTGCTCAAAACCAGCAGTATAGTGTTCTAGAGAGAAGCTGTTCTCAGGAGATGTCTCACTGAAGGCATTCTGCTGCTACGTGAAGGATGGGGTGTTGGTAGAAGCTGTTCTCTAGCACCTGTACTGATAAAATGTAACATGTGTCAGCTGGCAAAAGGAAAAATATATAAAGGACCAGCTTTATTTTTGCAGAGCAGGCAATATAGTATGAATTTGAAGCTGAGAGGCAATAAACTGCTAACTGGCACATGCTCCAAATCCTGCTGCCTAGGGGGGAAGGTAGTATGGGTGAGCACACAGGTAATTATGAATTATAACCTGTTTTCTGCAGCAGCATGCTAAGGTCATCTTTCCATGTAAATAAATAGAGATCTGCACCAACAGTTTTCATTGCTGAATAGTTTATATGCACTTTGTTTTATATAAATGATTCCCTGTTGGTTAACATTTAAATTATTTCCTGTTTTTAACTACTATGAACAGTGCCATGCTGAACTTCTGTATATGATTTTCTCATACTAAATTACTAAAAGTTGAGTTATTGGATAGCAGTTCTGTGTTAAATTGATAAGGATACCCATTGGGTCTATTTATTTATTTTAGCAAGAAAAGCATTTTTTATTTTTTGCATTTCTTAAGAATGCATGAAAAAGATGCCATATTAGACATCTGCTCTGGGGTCTGAGTCAAATGAGTTCAGGTGCCAGTCAGGTCCCAGCCACACAGCCTAGCCAGGAAAGCTAATTGACAAAGATGGCACCTGCTCTAGCTTTTCACTAAAATAGCATATGGGATTTTTATATGCTATTTCTTGAAAATGTATTTGATAATACTATTATAAAAAGGCATAAACTATTAGAACTACTCTTTTTCTTCATTTTCCTGTGAATATACCCTTTCCTAGTCATTAAAAATGATTTAGTAGAAGCATGTCAGCTCTACATCTTGGCAAAATGCCTGAGTACAATTACCAAGTAAGGCATTAACAGAATCAGTTAGGTAGACATTCTTATTTTTTAAAACTTTATTAGTGGCAGTGATTTTCCTCAGTAAACTTGTTGGCTTTCTTGGGGTTATTTACATGGGGCTAAATAAAGGGATTTTAGTATATTTGTGTTTGGCATTACCATTATAGGTTTAGCTCTTAACAGTATAAATGGTTGACTATTGTAAGAGTTCCTAAACTAATCCTCTGAAAATTCTCGGATGGCATAATAACCATAGTCATTGTGTGTGTTTTTTCCCTTCTTGAGGCATTTCAAAACATAGACAATGTTTTGTGGGCTGGCAAAGTTTTTTAGTGACCTTGTTAAGGATGCATGGATTGATTATAGGAAGGAAAGTAAGTGTCATGTTATTAATTTTGCTATTTTAATTTGCAAGATAAATATTTATATAGGAAAGGTAAAAGAGAAAATACAATAAATTACAGGGTCTGATCTCTGCCTTTCTAGAGTTTTTACAATATTGTAACAGGTGTAAGAGATGTGTGTGACTTTAATACCAACCCATAGTAAGTGTTATTTTTATAGTAAAAATAAAGCAGTATAAGATTCAAAAGAGAAGAATTATGTTTGTATGATCAGGGACATTTTTTCACAGAAAGCATCCGCTTTGTAATAGACTTTGAAAGGGGGACCTGGGTCAGTATGGAAATAGAGTACCTGTCTTTGTAGGAAGGTGGCCTATAAAGGCAGAATAGGGTCAGATTGATCATGGCTTTGATTATAAAGTCAAAGCAATACTATAGTAAGGCAGTCTGATGATAAAGTCAGGTTTAATTAGAAGGCAGAGTGCAGGAGGCTGGTTGAAGGAATATTATTTTATGTAAGAGACCACTGAGAGATGATAAGTTCTTATACTAGGAATAGACAGGATCCTAATAAAGATATGTTAGTGATTTATCTAATCCAGACTTTATCAACTGTGGTTAGATATTAAACACTGGAAGTATCTCTGACTTCTCTACAACAAAGTTTTATCTGGGAGACTAAGAATGGTGATGCCTTTACAAAGATAGAAAAGGGGGGTGAGTGAAAGAGGAAGGGAACTTCTACTAGTACTCAGGATGTGAAGAGTGTGCACAGAACCTCTCACTCTTGCCTATAATAAAAAGGTGGATGATTTACAAAATCATAATTTCTCTGAGTCCATCAGAGAGCTGAGCTTGCAAAGCAAACAAATTACCTAAATTCCAAAGAGTCAGACAACCCTCCTCCCTCAAAGAATGGACCATGAATTGTTTTACCTTTGGCAGAACAGGAGAGAAAGAGAAGGCTGTCATAAAAGTAGATAAGAAATCAGCTAAGCCCTGGCCGGTTTGGCTCAGCGGTTAGAGCATCGGCCTGCGGTCCAGAGAGACCCGGGTTCGGTTCCCGCTAAGGGCGCGTACCTCGGTTGCAGTTTGTCCCCGGCCCTGGTCGGTCGTGCGGGTGGCAGCCACTCGATGTGTCCCTTCACGTCGATGTTTCTCTCTCTCTCTCTCTCTTTTTCTCTCTCTCCCTCCCACTCTACCTGAACAAAAAATGGAAAAATGTCCTCGGGTGAGGATAAAAAAAAAAAGAAATCAGCTAAAATTTTAACTGATTGTTAAAGACTAAATTTGGAATATCTTGGGGCTTCTGATAAAAGGGGAGTTCATACTTGCTTGCAGATATATTTCCCTGGGGCTCCACAGGATACTTACTGTTGAGATTGGGTACAAGGAGGAAACTCAAGCTGTGTAGAGATGATGGAGGTGATCAGTGGCTGCTCGAGATAGTCACAAAGCCCCTCCCATTTATTCAGACTCCTTTAAGCCTCAAAACAATAGGGGATGGTCAGAAGTCTTATTTCATACATTTCTGGAGGGAGATTAGAAACAAAAACCCTTCTTCTCTGGGGAGGAACCTTCTGGTCCCCAGGACACAGCCAAAGACACATTGCTGCTGAGGAAAAGGTAGATGGGATGACCCTTTACTCTGAAAGAGATGCAGACAACTGTTCTGGGCCCCAGTATCCTACACCAATACCTAGGGAGAGGTGTTTTACTACTGGATGAAGAGTAGGGAAGAACCATTCTAGACCAACACAAATACAAAGCAGATTTTGGCTACCATAGGAAGAAGAGCTGCAGGGCCCACCCAGTGCTGATGCTGGATCAGGACAACTGAAAATCAAATCTGCTTCAACCATGAGCCATCACCAGGTGACAAACAAGCTTTCTACTGCTGGTGATAAGTCGAGAACAGGGAGAGAGATCCTCTGTGGTTAGAAGGATGCAGGAATGGATGAAAGCTGAGAGAAAAACTGCCAAAAACTCTCCAACTCATCTCTTGCCTTAAGCATCTGACAGTAGTAATCTGCCAGTAGAAGAATTGGATACCTGTGATGTGCTGAAGGTGACTGTGACAACAATAAAATCTATACCAAGTTCAATTCCTGTCTCAATTGACTAAACTCCTCCAGAAGAAGAGGCATGGCAATTTCCAAGTGTAAATAATCCAGTCTCTGTTGTTCTGTACACCATGCTTAGTGTTCAGCCCTGGCCCATGTGGCTCAGTTGTTGGGCATCATCTGATTCATTGAAAGGTTGCTAGTTCAATTCCTGGTCAGGGCACCCAGATACTGGAACTATCAAACAGGGACTTTAATTATTAGTAGTACTATGTTAAAGGATTTAGTGGACAAAGTACATAACTTGAATGAACAGATAAATGAGAAATTAGGCAGAAAGATGGAAACTATGAAGAGATGGAAAATACTTGGATTTGTCCATAGTCTGAAAGAGCTCCACACAAATGGAAGAAAACTATAAAAAATTTTTTAAAAAATGATAACCAAATGAAGCATTCTTTCAGTTGACCAGTAGACTCAACACAGCTGAAAAAATAGTCTGTCAACTTGAAGATAATTCAATATAAATTATTTAAACTGAAATAAAAGAAAAAGAGGGAGGAACAAACATCATCTAATATGGGACTGTATCAGATGGTATAATGTAAGTAAATTGAAGTCTCACAAGAAAAAGAGAACAAAAACAAAACAAAGTATTTAAGTAGATAATGGCCAAACTAAGTTTAAATAAAAAAATGAAAAATATCGTATCACAAGTACAAAAACAAACTCAGACAACTCCAAGTAGGTGAAAAACAATAGCAATAATAGATGTACTAGTAGTATTGGTAGTGAAAGAATGAATCACCTATACACGTCATTAAACTACTGGAAACCAAACATAAGAAAATCTT